TTCCATCTTACTTTCAACTGGAGGTGATTAATTTGCCATGCTAAAGGGGGAAAGTATCAAGAGAATATATAGAATTCTAACAGTTTAGAAATGCCTTTATGTAATGGGATAATCTTTAAACTATTGTAATTTTTGATTGATATATAATCATTTTACATCTTTGTAAGGTATAATATGGCTTTGAAAGTGTGTATACAGTATGTAATAAACAAATTGAGAATATAAATTTATTCACCACCTTCAAAATTTTTATCATTGTGAACATTTGATGTTCATTCTATTGGTTGTTTCGGAAATATATATTTAATTGTCAGTGATGTTCTTTTTGTTTTTTTGTTTTTTTTTTTGAGAGGTTTTTTGCTATAGGGCGCGTGCGCTCACCAGACAGAGAGAGAGACATAGAGACAGAAAGCGAGAAATCACCCCCCAGGAGGGATGGTCACGCTGCAATCCCTTCTCCATTCTCCTCTCGGGATCTTGGGCACGTATGCACACGCGCCCGGCGTGAGTTTTAAGCCACCGGGTCCGGGACGAACCGCAGTCGACTACGTGGGAGTCCAGCGACATAGCCATTACGCTAACTGCTGGTTCCCGATTGTCAGTGATGTTCTTTACAGTGTAAAACAGTTCTAAAGAAAAACACATGTCCTCTGGAAATTTAAAAAAAATTCAGCATTAACAGATGAATATTTGTAATTAATTCTGATGACAGAGAACATTTCCTTGAACTTCAAGTGAAAAGTTATTCCCCCCCCCAAAATTTTATTCCTACATTACTAGACCTGTATTAAAAATTGCTACTATTGTTACATCTTATGTTTTATAAGTACAAACGTGTGGACACTTGTTTTTTCTCTTTTCATGTGGACATGTACATAATGTTCTTAATTTTGTCTTTTGGTCCACAAAGCCTAAAACATTTACTATCCAGCCCTTAGGGAGATTACCTACCCTTGGTCTAAATGCAGCTTTTGCCACAACTGCTACTGTGTGTTTTGTTTTGGAACCACAAACATTCTGTTTCAAACTATTCCTATGAGTCAGGAGACGATAAGGAGGAATTAAGAATGGGGTTATATAATAACAGGGTTATAATAATGATAGCAAACATTAATTGAGCATGTGTAATATGTGGTACTCTGCTAAGAAAGTACTTTGTGTTTACTTTCTCGTTTAATATGAGAGTTTTATGAGGTAGATACTATCCCTCACTTTATACTCCCCTCATTTTATAGACAGTTAGAGACTGTTCTCTGTTATTTTTTAACTTTCTTTCTCTCTTGCTATAGGGCACATGCGTTCTCTGGAGACAGATGGAGAGAAAGTGAGAAATCATTCTCAGGGGGATGGCCACACCACAATCTCTTCTCCATTCTCCTGAGAGGATTTTGGGCATGCACATAACATGCGTTTGCCATGTTTTTCAGGCTACTGAGCCTGAGACTCGAGCCACAAAGCCACAAAGTCGGCCATGTGGGATCTAGCATCTTGCCCTCCATGCCACCTCCTGGCCCAGATTTTTTGAGAGGTTTTTGGGCTCTGCAGCGCAGTCTCGCCCTCCAACGGCTCCCCAGATCCTTCCCTCTTCCCGATTCCCCTCACCTGGCCTGGTGGCAACACTATCTTCAATCTTCGGGAAGATCATCCGCAAGGAAACCCCCGCCAAAATCATTTTTGAGGATGACCGGTGTCGTGCTTCCCATGACATTTCCCCTCAAGCACCAACACATTTTCTGGTGATACCCCAGAAACATATAGAAGAAGCAGAAGATGATGAAAGTCTTCTTGGACACTTAAAGATTGTTGGCAAGAAATGTGCTGCTGATCTGGGCCTGAAGAAGCGTTATGGAGTGGTGGTGAATGAAGGTTCAGATGGGGGACAATCTATCATGTTCATCTCCACGTTCTAGGTGGTCAGCAGATGAACTGGCCTCCTGGTTAAGCATGTTTTAGGGATAATTTTCCCTTCTATAGGCAATAAATCAAGTTTGCAAGTTACAGTATCAGCACACTTAATTTTGCCTGGGTATGGAGAGATTGAGGAGGTAATGTGAAAATCCCATACACAAATAAAAGACTTTGCTGCATAGTTTAAAAAAGAGAGAGAGATTTTTGCTATAGGGTATGTGCATACCAGTGAGAGACAGAAAGCAAGAAATCACCCTCAAACGGAGATGGCCACTCCATAGTCCCTTCTCTTCCATTCTTCTCTTGGGGTCTTGGGCATGCATGCACACATGCCCAGTGTGAGTTTTAAGCCGTGATCTGGGACTTGAACCATGGTCGACTACATGGCGGGGGATGGGGGGGACCCAGCAATGTAACCATTATGTCATCCACTGGTCCCTGAGATTGAGTTCTTAAAGAGCTTATTGACAAGTAAGTGATGTAAATGTATGATTTAATCTGGCCATGGGACACAAGACCACAGCCTGCAACATTAGTTAGGAGGAGCAAAGGTAGACACCGGGGTAATTCCTGAGGAGGAAGAGTAGATGGTCAAAGGCATGAGAGTAGAAGTGCATGAGACTGAACTCTCTTAGGTGAAAATAGAACTATTAATTTACTCCCACCTTCCTGAAACAGGACTCTCCTACCCCAACTCCTTTAATAACTTCTGGTTGAGGGTTTCAAAAAACTTGTGAACAAAGGTATTGTCTGTAGGCCCAGCCCTGGGGTTGCGGTAGTCCAAAGCTCTGCAATGCTGTAGGCCATTTGGAAGACCCCAGGTTGACCTGCATGCATGGATCCTTCATGGGACACCTTGGGAAAGGCTGGGGCAGGATTGCAGAGAGAGACCCTCTTGAAGATACTTGTTCCCGTCTCTCTCTCAAGAAATAAACAAACTTTTTAAAAAGTATTGTTTGTAAAAGTCTGAGCACAGTTGCTAATGTAGAAAGAGGTGAAGGAAAGTGGTAGGAAAAGTTCAGAGGGTGCAGAAGAACTGGGAACTCTGTCCTGGTGTGGGACAGGATCCATATGGATATACGTGTATATATACATAAATATAAGCACTCTGTATTTGCAGATTCCACATCCTCTATTAAACCAAACACTGATAGGAAATATCTGGAGGGGAAAAAAAATGGTTGCATCTATACGCAATAGGAGACTTCCTTTTTTTTTTTGTCATTATTTCCTTAACAGTACCTAACAGCATTTGCACTGTGTTAGGTATTTTAAGTACCCTAGAGCTGATGTAAAGTATTTGGGAGGTGTGACCAGCAAATGTTGAGATGGTTTTCGCTGGACTCCCACACAGTCGACTACAGTTCCAGTCCCAGACCTAGCGGTTTAAAACTGACACCAGGCACATGTGCATGCATGCCCAAAATCCCAAGAGGAGACTGCAGGAGAAGAGATTGTTGTATGGCCATCCTCTGGGGGGTGACTTTTCACTTTCTGTCTGTCTCTTTCTCTCTGCCTCGCACATGTGCCCTATAGCAAAAATCTCTCTAAACAAAGGTAAAGTATATGGGAGGCTGTGTATAGGTTATGCAGAATGTTTTTAAAATAAGGACTTGTGCATCCATGGTGTTTTTGTGTGCGAGTGGAACCAATCCCCTGCAGATACTGAGGGATAATTGTACATATTTACATATCCACGCTTATACAGTTGTAATATATTACTGTCAAAAGACAACACTGCAACGAATGTAGCTTTACATCACACATCCATACATTACACCCCTATGCATATTTTCAGGACTCGGAATTTACACATGGGTATAATGTGCTCAGTCTTGTGGTAGACTCTCCAGAGCATTTCCTGGGATGTAAATAACAATAAAAACCCAGTGATCAGGTCACTTGAGCTCAAGGCTAGCCCTCGCCCCACTGGCTTTAACTTCCCCTCCACTGCTTCTCCAACCAAACATCCCTCTTCCCGCAGGATCCCACGGCCGTCCAAACGGCCAATGAGGGCTTCGGAGCAGCGGTCCTGGGAGGGGTATTATCTGCAGGAACCCGTTCAGGCAACTTTGTAGTCGAGTCACCGCTTTCTGTTGGTAGCGGCCGCTATTTCTTTAAATGGGCAGTGGATTTCGAAACAGGGAGGGAGAGGGCTGTCAGGAAAAGGAACTCGGCTGCCTTTGATAACTGCCCAGCAACCTCCCTTCCCCGGAACGTGTGCGTGTGCTCGGTCGGGGGAGCGCCTGCCGCGGCCACGTCCCGGGCC